CCAAGATAGCATTCATGTTCTTGACGCCTGGTCCATTGCCTTTTGAGAGGCTTTGGGAAAGATTTTTCCAGGTACATTTTTGTTCTAAAAAACAAATTTATTCTTCAGAAACGCTGTCAGCTTCCTTTGGTAATTGTGACACTTGAATTTATTAATGTGCAGTGGTTCACCATGAAGAGACAACATGCTGTAGTAATCATGGTAAAAATGCTGCAACTTAAGTTATTTTTTTATGGTTTGGTATAAGATTGGACTTGGCATGGTAAGGTGTCGGTTTTAATTTGATTTGAATTATATAATCTTAGTATTAAATATATTTTGGATATGAAGGACTAAATGGTTATTCGTATATTTTTAATTGGATGCGTCTCAGCTTCTGTTGGATGTGAAAATTTTTGTTGATCACTGTTTGTAAGAAAACAAACAAAAGTATATCGTGTCCTACAAAAATTTAGCAAATCGATTCATTTCCCGTTCACAAAAAGTTCGTCCCCAAACCAAGTATGATAAGAATAGTTTTATATAATCATGGCATATTAGAAATAATCAAACAAATCCAACTGGTTTACAGTTTCATCAGCTGATTCTAGCAAGAGTACTCGCATTCGCACAAATTAATATTAACAAGCGTGAGACAAGATCCATGTCCAGCAAGATACTTGTTTGCAGAATTCATATTACAGCAGTTCCAATTACAATCGTCAGAGCAGAAACCAGCCCCACCATAGCACACTTTAGAAGGTCTGCCCATTTGTACATTGGACATGAACTGATGGTCTGTATACATTATTAAAAATATTACATTACACATATTATATAGAATTAGGAACATAATTATTCATTAGAATGTATACAGCGGTATTTATACTGATTACAATAGGTATTCTAGGAATGATGTATTTACATAAAGACCCTTATCTACATATCCTCTACATATTATTCTCGATGTACATGTTAAATATATACATTTGTAATGATTTTCACATAATATATCTTACATTCCTTATCCTTATAAAAAGTAATCCTTCCAAAAAGCCATCATATTACAATTACACTAACATCCTTTTTTTTTCTGAAGAAGTGATTCTTGGCAGTGTCAAAATTTGTTATTGTGATCACGTAATCATATTAGAAACTGTAAGTTTATCGAATATATGTAAAATAATACCTGAGGTAAACATGATAAGAACAAGGAATATAAGTGAAGTTGTCCTCTGCATTTTTTTCACGTTATCTAGTTTTCTTCTAAACCTCTTTCTCTGGGGTAAACTGTTTGTATGTCATTGGGGAATATTAAATCATTTATTTTATAGCAACCTAAAGATTTCAAAATAAATATAATTTTGGTCCTAAAATCTCTCTTAGAATCTATAATAGATAGTAAAACTTCTACAAATTAATAATGTTGGGACTATAAAATTTTATTAATTTATAGAGATATTAAATTTCTAAAAAAAAAAAAATTACTTAGATTTTTTTTATTTATGTATTATTCCTTTTTTGAGCAATAAGATATATTTATTCTAAAATAAGAAAAATATATGATGTTAATGTATAGACATTAATTATTATCTTTTGAAATTTGACATTTATATTAATTATATCATATTATTTGGTGTGTATAATATATATTACATAGAATTTAAATTTAATTTTAGATATATATTACTAAATCTCATCAAAATATATTAA